GAGGGTCAGGGAATAGTTTCAGTTGGGCTTCTCTAAGCTAGTGAAGGACTGGGGCCTGTGAAGTCCTAAGGGGCCTGTGGATCTTACAGTAGAGTATAGACAGGTTTCTTGCTGAGCCATTTAGAGCTCCAGTTTGTCAAAGAAAGGGAGAGGCATGGGTTTTCTGGAATGCAGTGTGAGCTGTGTGCATGTGGGGTTGTTTGAAATGCTGGATAGTTTCAGTTGGGCTTCTCTAAGCTAGTGAAGGACTGGGGCCTGTGAAGTCCTAAGGGGCCTGTGGATCTTACAGTAGAGTATAGACAGGTTTCTTGCTGAGCCATTTAGAGCTCCAGTTTGTCAAAGAAAGGGAGAGGCATGGGTTTTCTGGAATGCAGTGTGAGCTGTGTGCATGTGGGGTTGTTTGAAATGCTGGCTGTGGAGTCGCCTTTTGGGTTTTGTGTGAGGGAGGGGTAGTACATGACTGGCCAAAGGAGTAAAATATACATTATTCAAAAATGCAAATGTGGGGGCTCAAGAGCTGGCTCCACAGGTTAAGAGCACTGGCTGCTCTTGCAGAGGACCTGGGTTGGAATCCCAGCACCCATACGGCAGCTGACAATTGTCTGTAGCTCCATTTCCAGGGAATCTGAAACCCACTTCTGTCCTCCACAAGCATTATTACACGATATGGGTGCACTTACATACATTCAGGCATAACACTCATACACATAAAAACAAAAAAATAAATAAAAACTAAAAAGACACGTTGATAGGGGATGTCTAGTGATGGGGCAGGGTACAAGGAACTCCCCGCATCTCCTTAAGAAAGTATCAGCTTCTGAGAGCTTCTATAGTTATAGTAGACATGTCCACATACCAGTTAAGTGACATCTCTCCTTACCTTGCCCCTCTTCTCTCTGTCTCCCTTCAACTCTAGGAGGCCAGAAGCTACAACTTCTGAGAATGAGAAAAAGAAGTTAAGAATGCTTTCCTTTCTCTCTGCAGGCCAGAGCCTCTGGGGCAGTAGCTCCCATTATAAGTGAGGTTTGCTTCTTTAAATTTTCATTGTACTGGTGTGTGTGTGTGTGTGTGTGTGTGTGTGTGTGTGTGTGTGAAGTGAGTAGGCAGCCTTTTTATTACTAAAGAATGACCAAAGAATTTGTAAACACTGACTTAGATCTTTTTGAATTGTTCGTTTGAGACTGTTTTCTTGCTGTCTAACTCAGATCTAGATCTTACCCAGGGGAAGGAGAGGAACCAGACCCACAAAATGGTTTTGAAGGGATAATAAAGTTGCTTGTGAAATGAAAAACAACTCCACAAACCCTTAGTACATGAGCTCTAAGAAGGTACACAACATGGTCTGCTAGAATTTCCAGGGAATACATTAGAAAAAGTTGGATAACAGCTATCAGATGCAACATCGTCCAAATACCCATACCTTTAATAGCAAAGTAAAGTAGGAAACTTTACAAAGCATAAATGTAAGTCCAGAATCCTTCCCAGAGGGATTGTCTCCATTTGGGGTGTTCCCCCCTCCAGTCCCTGGTAAGAGAGAATGCCAACATCAGGCAGGAGTAGGCACAGTTAAGACAGAATGCCTCAGAAAATGTGCACTGTACATTTCAAGAGCAGGAAAATGGGGTGGAGGTGGAGCCATACCAACTGTGAACTGCAGCGGTACTGCCTGGGGAAGGAGAAGCCACCTCTAAAAGACATGCTGAGTTGGTGGCTAGGTGGCCCAAGACCCTCTGTAAACCATACTCTTGGGAAACCAGAGCAAGTGTCATGAGTCTATGTGCTGAAACCTGGACAGTAGACTGCGGGAAATGAACTTTGAATCAGAACCAAACCTAGTACTCAGGGAAGACAAAACCTGGTCAGAGCCAGAGTCTACAGGGCAACAGAAACAGATTTCAAGGCCAGTGGGGCCAACATTCACAGTCACACTGCTGAAACTCACCCAGAAGTATGACCGGTATCTGTGACCTGACCTTGTAAACAACTATTCGGGAGTGTGACAGGCATCCTGGGAGCCTAGGAGAGAGCACTGAGGGACTTGAGGAGGAGCCGGCAGTCAGGCCAGGTTGCACTTGTACTCTACAACCCACACAGCTCTCTCTCCCTTATATCTACTCCTCTTTATTTAATACCCAATGTCAACTCAGCAGGCCAGCTCCTTTCCACCCCCTGCTTGTTCTCGTTCTCTGTTTTTCTCTACTCTTTTTCTTTTCCTTTCCATAGGCTTTCCCAAAGAACACAGGTTGGCTTGGTTTGTAGGGTCTTTGTGTCTCAGCATTCCAAGAGCAGGGACTTTTTTAGGTGACTTGTTTGAAATTCTTTTCATTTTATTTTTATCTAAAACTGCCTCATCTCCCCAGTCACCCCTATAGTCTCCCTCTTCCATACTTTTCCCTCCTCTCCTTTTTCTCTACCAACCCCATGCTAATTGCTAGTTTTATTCTGCTGTTTTCCTTTCTGCTCATAGCCAGAGAAATGAATATATTACTGTATATAGTGCTATTTGTATTTATGTACTTCCTACAATGACTGGCACTTGAAAGGTGGTTGTTAAATTTGACTATTGTGTTTTACTTATAGTGGCCCTACCCTGTCATGGTGATTGACATTGCAGACAGTACTTTACTTTCAGAAGAGTATTGGGGATTGACCTTGGTGCCCCCAAACACCAGTGTAGCAGAGGAAAATGATGCATCACCTGCCCTCAACCTAACCTCTCTTAAAGCCTACAAACATTTTCACTGAAATAACAAGTGTGGTTAAGGAAAATAAAAACCAGTTACCTAACCCTAGATGCTAAATTCCCAAGGCAAAAACCAAAGAAACACAACAAACCAAGGCAACACGACTCCTCCAAATATCACTGATCTATAGTAATAAACTCCAGTGAGAGTG